AGGCACAGAAAGAATTGCCGGAGCCTGAGGCGGATGTGGTAAGTTAGGGATTTCCCTGAGCCAACTCTTCCTCCCCGGGAGCCAGTCAGTCCGAGGGTTAGCTGTAAAATGGAGGACGAGGAGTTCTCTCCAGTCTGTCGCTGGCGTCTACTCCCTCTCCACTGGGAGCCTGCTTGCCACAGATCCAGCTCGCTGAGTCACGAGAAAGTTCTCCGTGCCCCGCACCCCTCCAGAGGGACAGGGCTCTTCACTTTCCCTTCCTTGTGTCCCCGCCTGTTTTTGTTTGTTGATTTTTCAAATGTCTTTAATTTTTATTTTTCAGTGTTTGTTTACCAGAGAGAGAGGGACAGAGGGTGGGAGAGAGCGAGGGAGACACAGGTTCCGAAGCAGGCCTCAGGCTCCGAGCTGTCAGCACAGAGCCTGACGCGGGGCTTGAACTCGTGAACTATGAGATCGTGACCTGAGCTGACGTCAGATGCTCAACCGACTGAGCCACCCAGGCGCCCCGCCCCTTGTCTCCCCCGCCTTGAATCAAACGGGGACAGGCTCACCGCGTAAGGCCCAGCTGTGCTCGCTGTGGCTTCGTGCCAAGAACAAGAACTCTCCGGGCCCGGGTGTTAGCAGCCGAGCACTGTGTGCTATATCCGTGCTATTTTTATTTGTACTTCTTTGATTTCAAGTGACACTGAACGGTTTTTTCATATTTTCAGTTTCTCTTTTTGTGACACGACACGTCCGTTTGCGTCCGTTTATTTCCTGGGGTGGTTGCGTTTTCCTCGTTGGTCCACCCTTGGCTCTACATGGGAGACATTTTAGAGCATGAAGTTTTCTCGACTTGGAAACTTCAGGTGAAGGAGATTCCTTCTCATCTTCCAGGAGCACTGGGAGAAGGACAGGGTGACTCCTCGTGTTTGTGCTCATGTCTTCCGGTTCCTTTAATTATTTAGAGGAGTTCTCCAGAGTTTTTTTTTTCTAGTCACCACTTAAAATTTTTTTGCCGTCTAACTCGTGCGTTCTTTGGTGTTTCCCAGTCTTGTCTCTTCCCCTTCGTTCTCCCTCTCTGCTAAGGCTAGTTTGCTTTTTTTTTTTAAAGTTTATTTACTTTGAAAGAGAGAGAGAGACAGAGAATGCACTCACAGGAGGGGCAAAGAAAAAGGGAGAGACAGAGACAGGGTGGAGCCTGACTTGGGGCTCGAACCCACAAACCATAAGATGATGAACTGAGCCGAAATCAAGAGTCAGACACTTAACCGACTGAGCTGCCCAGGCGCCCCTGCCAGTTGGCTTTGCCTTGACGTCTCCCGTTCAGCGTCCCGGGCAGGCTGCACCCTTCTCCTTTTTCCAGCTCATCATCTTGGGGCCTGATTGCCTGCTTTAGGCTCATATCCTACAGGGTCCCTTGATTGAGTTTTACTCCGAGGTCGAGGATCGCCGGGCGAGGTGTCTTTGCAACCACAGGCATAAAGGAGATATCTGGGGAAGATCGTGTCCCCCGTTTTCCTCTGTGGTCCGTTCTAGTTTCACTCGTCGAAGCAAGGGAATCTCACTGTCTGCTTTCTTCAGAAGCTTGAAACCCGTCATTCAGCTTATCTGCAGCCTTCCCTTCACCATCCTGGACCCGTCAGGCTTCTCGCCTCATGTCCTATGTCCCCACGTGCGCTTGTGAATGGGGGAAAGGACGCCTCCTGACGGCTGTACCTGCTTCGGCCCTCTGCTCCCCTCCCGTAGAAGCCCCTTTTCCTGTCCCGAGCCGTGCTGACAGGACTGGCGGGTGCGGAATGGACAGCGGAGCACGATGCCGTCCTGGAACGCTTTGCTCGGGACCCTTCGGAACCCATCGTCACCATCTTCATCGACCCCTGTGTGGGGCTGACGCTGGAGCTGGGCGTGCCTGTACAGGTGGGTGCTCGGCTCTCCCGGACCCCGAGGTGGTCGGCCAGGGAGCTGAGGGTTTGCGTCCCTCCGTCATCTGAGTCTTACCTCCTGTGCCCAAGGTGTGTTGAGCCTCGTGGTGGGTCCGCTTGACGGTGGAATACAGAGGCATGAGGCAGGGTTTTGCTTTCGGCGATCTCGTGGTCTGGTGGGGGAGACAGACGTATAGAAACTATTCACAATGTGTTAGGATGCACGGGCAGAGCTTAATAGGAACTTTATGGGGACCGTACAGCCAGTGGGATGCTGGCAAGGCCTGGCGACAGAGGTGACATTCGAGCTGGAAAAGAAAGGTAAGTCCGATTTCATCGCGTCTGGGTGAGAGCTGTGTCGGCAGAGAACGCTTTATGGGCAAAGAAAAGAGCTGTGGGAGGCGATCCTGAAAAGGCGGGCTGGGGTCACTTCGCGGAGGGCCTTGTGTTTATGCTGGAGAATTTGGCCTCCCTCCTGGAGGGAACTAGCGCAGCCTTTCGTGGATTAGAGAGAGAACGCTTTCAACCGTGTGGAAGACACACGGGCGAGGGGTAAGCCACGGGTAGGGAGACGGTTAAAAGACGGCTGGAGTAGAACGTTAGTGGTGGAATCTGGGCAGTGGGTATATAGGTCATTGTTGTAAACCTCTTGTAACTTTTCTATATGTTCGAAGCCTTTGAAATAAAGTGTTGGAAAAGAGAAAGGCCTTTGCTTTGCTTTTATTGGCAGCACGTACACAAAACGATAACGATAATGGAGGTGAACATGGCCGTGCGCCGTGACACAATTTGGGAAATGTTCCAGATCAAACAAAAGCAAAAATAGCTTGCGGCTTTTTCCTGTACGTTGGCGTCAGGCAGCTACAAAACATCATGGAAAAAAAAAAAAAAAAAGATCTCATTCGTAAAAGGAAGAAGAGTTTGCCAAAAATGTGTAGGATTTATATGAAAGAAAGCAAGTTTGTTGCAGGCCATGAAACCATGAGAGAAGATTTGACTGAATAGCCATATCCTGTTTCTGGGTGGGAATCTTAATATTATAAAGATCCTTTATCTAAAAAGAAATGTACCATTTTAATGCAACTCCCATCACAGTGCCAAAGTCCCTAAACCCCTTACGTGAAGATTTAAAAATCTATCCAGTCGGGACGCCTGGGTGGCTCAGTCGGTTGGGCATCCGACTTCAGCTCAGGTCATGCTCTCCTGGATCATGAGCTCGAGCCCCGTGTTGGGCTCTGTGCTGACAGCTCGGAGCCTGGAGCCTGCTTGGGATTCTGTGTCTCCCTCTCTCTGCCCCTCCCCCCGCTCACGTTCTGTCTGTCTCTCAAAAATAAACATTAAAAAATATATATCCAGAAATATGCATGATGAAGGAAAGTAATGTAGGAGAGTTGTGAATACGAAAATCTCTTCTAATTAAACTGAAGTAATTACAACAGAGCTGTACTGGGGCAGGAATATACATTGATCTGCAACATTAAAGACACCAAGTACAGACGCATATATGTAAGCATTTTCTCTAAAAATTGCATTTAAAATCTGTGGGGAAGAACAGATCCTTCGGTGAATAGAATTGGGAAACATAGAAAAATTTTCCATTAAAAATCTAATCAGCTGGGGAGAGCAGGGGGAAACAGGCAGATGTTGGTCAGAGGGCACAAGGTTTTCAAAAGCAGAGGCCACAAAGCAAAAATACACACACGGGACTACATCAAATCCAAAAGCTTCTGCACAGCAAAGCTTCTTCCATCAACAAAATGAAAAGGCAAACCTAAGGATTGGGAGAAAATACGTGTAAATCGTCTATCTGATAAAAGGTTAATATCCAAAGTATACAAAGAACTCCTACAATCCAATAGCAAAAAGAACAGCCTGATCAAAAAATGAGCAGAGGGATTGAAGAGACATTTTTCCAAAGAAGACCTACAAATGGCCAACGGGTGTTTGAAAAGGTGCCTCCATATCATCAATGGGATAAATGCAAGTGAAAATCGCAGCGAGGTATCAGATACCACCTGACACTTGTCAGAATGGCCATCGTCAAATAGACTCCCAAGAGACAACAAACGTTGGTGAAGATGTGCAGGAGAGGGAACCCTCGTGCACTGTTAGTGGGAATGTAAGTTGGTGCAGTCGCTCTGGAGAATGGGATGGACGTTCCTCAGAAAATTAAAAGCAGAACTACCCGATGATCTGGCAATCCAGTTGTGGGTATCCATCCAAAGGAAATGAAATCGCTATCTCAAAAACATACCTGTACCCCACGTTCGTTGCAGCATTATTTACAGTAGCCAAGCTATGGGAGCAGCCTAGGTGTCCACCGATGGATGAATGGATAAAGAAAGTTCCATGTACACACGATGGAACAGTATTCAGCAGTGAGAAAGAAAAGAAGCCCGGGGCGCCTGGGTGGCTCAGTTGGTCAAGCAGCGGGCTCTTGATTTAGGCTCAGGTCATGATCTTGTGGTTCATGGCACTGAGCCCCGCATCAGGCTCCACACCGACAGTGCGTGGAGATGATCTCTGATTCTCAGTTTTTTTCTCCTAAAAAAGTGAAAAACAGAAAGAAAGAAAAGAGAATCTTGCTACTTGCAATATCCTGGATGGAACTTGAGGGCATTATGCTGAAATAAGTCAGAGGAACATAAATACTGTATGATCTCACTCATGTGTGGAATCTAGGGGGGAAAAACCCCAAACTCACAGAAACAGAACAGATTGGCGGTTGCTAGAGTGAGGGGGTGGGCAGGTAGGGGAAATGGTTGAAGGTGGTCAAAAGATACAAACCTCCAGTTTTAAGAGAAATCAGTTCTGGTGATATGTACAACACGGTGACTATCGTTAGCAATAGCATGTATTTGAAAGTTGCTAAGGGAGTAGATCTTAAAAAGTTCTCAAGATGAGACGGAAAAAATTGTAAGCGCGTGAGGTGATGGATGTTAACTAAACTTACTGTGATCATCACTTTACATATATCAAATCATGTTGTACACATTGAACTAACAGTGTTATCGGTCAGTTATATCTCAATACAACTGGAGGGAAAGGGTACAGTTTCATTTATGCAAGGTGAATGGTTCTGGAGGTCTATTAGCATGGTAACCACAGTTATCGTGTGTGCACCTGCAGTTTGCTAAGAGGGTACGTCTTCAGTGTTCTCACTGCACACACACATGCACACGAGAAGAAAAAGAAAAAAATGGTACCTAACGAGATAGTGGGTATATTCATTTGGTTGATTATGGTGATCATTTCACAGTGTATACATGTATCAAAGCATCAGGTTGTATACCCTAAGTCTATACATTTTTATTTGTCAATTATGCCTCAAGAAAGAGAAAATTTATTTGGTATGCTGAAATACATTCTAAACGAGATTACAGCCTTAGTTGTATGCTTCTGAGTCAAGATGGCCAATTGAACTTCCTTAAAGAATTATTACTCTTGGGGTGCCTGGGTGGCTCCGTTGCTTAAGCGCCTGACTTTGACTCAGGTCATGGTCTCACAAGCTTGTGAGTTCAAGCCCTGTGTCGGGCTCTGTGCTGACAGCTCAGAGCCTGGAGCCTGGTTCGGATTCTGTGTCTCCCCCCTCTCATGCTCTGTCTCTCTCTTTCAAAAATAAATAAACATTAAAAAAATTTTTTTAAAGAATTATTACTCTTGATAAAAGGAGCAAAAGGTAAAACCAGAAAAAAAATAAACAACACCGAAGAGTAAAGAAGGAAAGAAACATAACCTAAGAGACTTGATGAAGTGGGGACCAATGAAAGGTCTGTGCTCTGAGTGACAGAAATGTTCTTCCCAGGGGAATGGTGGACCCCCAGCAAGATGGGACCCTCAGGACGTGTAACAAAACCTGAAAAGGAAGAAAGCGCCCAGGTATTTTCTCAGAGATTTTATGTTCTTTTGAAATTAGCCTGAACCACCCGCCCATCCCCTCGTGCTATCCTCTTAGGCTGGCGAAGAGGGAATAAAACATAAAATACGCGATCCTTTCACTTGGAGGGGGAAAAGAAACACGGCTCTCCCAGCAGGACATCAAGGAGTCACCCACAGTCTGTTAGAGCAGAAAAGACGGGGTCACAGAAACTGCTCACGCATGTGGAAGGTGGAGAGGAATTGCGTGGCAACCGCAGGCATGTTACATCCAGGGGACGCAAATGGAACAAAGCAGACACAGGAGGAAAAGAGCCAAGCAGAAGGAAATTCCTCACAACAGAATTTGTGCTAGGAACAAACCTAACAAGAGCATGAATTCAATTTTTAAAAAGCTGGGAGGTGAAATGATGCAACATGGGAAATACATAAAACGGAGATTGCAAATTTTAGGAAATGAACATAGCAGCATGTGACAAAACCCAGTAGGTTAGAAACAGCGAGGGACTGATGAGCGATCGCTGCAGACCCGAGTTGCCAGGGAAGAGAGGCTCGAGATCATCATAGTGCACGAGGAAGAGAAAGCCAATGACGACATGATTAAAGGAAAGTTAATAAGACAGGTGATCTAATATAGAGTGCCAACGAATGAGACGATAGAAATTTAAAGATAAAACACAAAAGAATTTCCTTGACCTGCAGAAGGAACTGAATCTGGGAATTGGCAGAGCAAGCTTTTCTTCCACAAAATTTGTTACACAATGTTTAATGTCAACACACATCTTAGGTAAGCTACTGAACTCCAAGGGAATTAATTCTTTGGGAACATCGCCTATGTGGTATTCCTGCCAAGAAGATTTAACCTGCATCTAATACTGAGGAAACAATCAGATAAATACAAGTTAAGGGACATTTTGGAAAACAACTGGCCTGGACTGTTAGAAAGATCAATGCCATGGAAGAAAGAAGAAGACAGGGGTGGTGGTGGGGGGGCGCCTGGGTGGCTCAGGTCGGCTCAGATCATGGTCTCATGGTTCGTGAGTTTGAGCCCCACGTTGGGCTCTGCGCTGGTGGCACGGAGCCTGCTTGGTATTCTCTCCCTCTCTCTCTCTCTCTGCCCCTTCCCCATCTGCACTCTCTCTCAAAATAAGTAAATAAACTAAAAAGAAAAAGAAAAAGAAAAAAAAGGAAAAGACCGGAGAACCGTGTGGAATGCAAGGAAACTGAGGAGACACGGCCGTGTGTGATCCTGGATTGGATCCTGGGTGGCAAAGAACAGCCGTATGTGACGTTATTTGGACCACTGGGGAAAATTGAATATGGATTGTGTATTATATCAAGTATTGTATGAAGTTCAGTCTTCTGAGTGTGTGATAATTATGGTGTTGGATGTGTTGGAGAATATCCTTTTTCAGAGCTATATGCCAAAGTATTTAAGGGCGCCCTATCACGATGTCTACTGCTAACTCTCAAATGGCTCAGCTGGGAGAGGGAGCGAGCAAGAGGGTTCCCTCAAGCACAGATGTTGACAATAATGAATCTAGATGGAGGGTGTGCTGTTCATTGGATTTTTCTTGCAATTTCTCTACGAGTTGGAATTATTTAAAACACAAAAATTTGGGAAAAAATGACTTAGCCCTCGCCAAAAAACAAATAGTCTGCCACGAGGAAACATTAGGCTGGTTGCCCACTTCTCTGATCACCAGGAAGAACACACTCAGAGTTCTCTCGGAAGGACAGTGTGCCCCAAGGGTATTATACCCAGCCGAGATGGTCAAATACAATGGCAACAAAGAGGTGATCATTTTCAATCTTGAAAGAACCCTACTTAAAAAAATATATATTTATCATCAGTGGAAATCTATTCCATTAAGAAATGAACCAAATAGGGGCTCCTGGCTGGTTCACTCAGTGGAGCGTGAGACTCTTGATCTGGGGTCATGAGTTTGAGCCCCATGTTGGGTGTAGAGATTACTCAAAAATAAAATCTTAAAAAAA